ATATCAAAGGCAAAGACAATGTTATTGCAGACGCCTTGTCAAGAGTATCGTAAACATACTAGATTTTGTATTAATGTACAAAACTTTTATTTTAATAATGTAAGTTTTCATTGACATTCAAACTTTTTAAGGGGGGAGGTGTTGTGAGATGTGTATTGTTTCATTATGTATATAATTAGTAACATTAAGTTTCTTGAACGTTCCAGAGTGGTCAACATGTTCGGTCATTTTATCTAGAACATTCTTAAATTTTGTGTATGTCCAGATTGTTCCAGTAATATCATGTTTTAACAATTTCTAGAATATTCTAGATTTATGATACTATATAAATACCCTGTCAATTCGATGCATAGACAATACTTTGTCGTATAAGCACTATTGAGATATAACTGGGATATATATTTTCACTGGGACATTGTGTGCAGAAACGGACACTCTGATGTATGTATTTTTAGATTCTTGCTAAGTTTGTACTTTATGTTTCATATACTTATTATATATTACTGTAAATAAATTATTGTTAAGTTTAAATTTTGTTATTGATCTTTGCTGGCATTTAGGGTTATTCTGACCCATAACACAGTGTAGATGCATTATCGGCGCATATGATTTTTCTTCTGAAAAAAAGCAATGTTTAGATTGCTAGCGTGTTTCTATGGCTGTTCTGTCATCAGTTTTTAATATGATATCCATTGATGTCTTGAACATACAAGCGTGTCATGCGTCATTCTTCAGCGTCATGCAAATGCTTACAAAATCCGAAAATGGTGACGTCGTTAGAGCCATTTCAGCGTTTCCCCCTAATTTTTGTCGTAAAATCACATTTTAATACCAGTTGGGGTTAATGATAATGTTTTTTGTATTAAAATCAAAATATTTAGCAAATGTGTACTAGCTGTCTTACAAATTACTGCATGAAATTAAAAAGTTGCGCACAGTCATGCGCACTCGAATTAGACTAGGCCTCGTTAATTAAATGTTTGATTTCAATGAAATCAATAATTATACTTTGCATATGAAACACAGAACCCAGAAATACCATACTGACCAATTATACTGAATGATTATCCACTAACAAGCAGCAAATAACAATTACATATGGAAGGACAACGCACGTTTTACTTCCTATAATGATGATATTGATAGTTACACAGTACAGCATCCGGTCAAATTACAACAAATATGACGCGTGCGTGTTCTTTTGAGGACAGAAAACGGGCTTTGACTGACCACTTGTTGCTGCTAAATACAAATGCCGCACTGGGGAAAAAAGTTCAATGTGATTATAGTCAGTATTATTAGGGTATTGTTGTACTCTTAGTTTCATATGCAAATTAGTAAACATCCAATCGATGAGTAAAATGATAATCAACACACAAAATTTTAACACGCCCCATCAAGTAAACAGTCACGCTGTTAGTAAAATAATGATAATTCACTTTCCTATTGTAATGCAAATACACATTAAAAAAATTAAAAAGTTTTTAGAACTATGCCGCATTTATCATTAAAAATTAGTCAACAATTTTTCTATCACTAAAATGGTTGTATCTGACGTCAGAGCAGAATTTCGCCAACATTTAAATTTTGCTCGAAATTTTCTTACAATAATGCTTATAGCTATCGAGATGTCCGAAAGACTGTACGTTCGTCCGTCTGTTACGCTTTGGGGGGTACCCATCTCTTATCCACAACTTCTCCTATACCACTTTATGAAATTTAAGGGGACATTCACAGAATTTCCATTACATAATTTCAAAATGCACCTGTCATTTTATATTTTGTTCGGACTCATATTTCGGGTTTCCCTAATAGTGAATCATTGACTTGGCATTGTTTCTATTGAAGGGTACTCTTCTTCTATCTGCAAATCCTCCTATAGTGCTGGATAAATTTAATGATACTTTCACAGATTCTTTGTTACATAATGCCATATTGCACCTCCTATTTTACTCATAGTATATATCTCTAGTTGAATACTGTTTTTAATAAGAAGGTTGAAGAAAGTTTTTTATCATAGCAGTACAGTGTTATCATAGCATGCGTAAATTCTTTTGATTTTAAATATATGATAGTTAAGGACTTGATTGAAAAAAAAACAGTTTAAGTATTAACATAAAAATAATTCTATTTTTAGGAAGTACACTTTAACAGAAAAAAAAAGATACTGTTAATGTATTCAAAGAATCAGGAATTGTTTCGTTTTGTGAATTTTAAGATAAAATTCGATAGTTTTAATTCCATTATTTAAGAAAAAAAATTTTTTTGAAGCACAAAAAAAAAAAAAAGAAAAAAAAAGAAACTTATTTTGATATCTTGCATTAATATGCATGTACGTACAAATAATGACCGGAATATTAAAGTTCACTTAGGCAGGAAATAAAATTAATTTGAGATTTCAAAAATTTAAATATGTTCTCTTGACTTTACACAGCCTGTGAAGTGGGCACATATGGCGACAACTGTTCGGGAGGACCTTGTCCTTATGGTTCTTACGGCTTTGGATGTCTAAGTAAATGTAACTGTAGTGCTGACCAATACTGTGACAGGAGAATCGGATGTGAATACAATGTCACCAGTGGTAATTATAAAGAGAATGATACGTACTCTTTTCCAAATCACTTCATGCATTATGAATGTGTATGTCATTGCATGCATAACTGATGGAACAGCCGTTGCTTAAGAAATCTATGCAAGTGGTTTGCTTAGTGTCGTTTACTGACTGATTAACAGCAATTGGAAATTATTCAATGGATGGAATTTTGATAAAATATGGAAAAAGTTACCCTACACTATAAAAAAATCTTTTACAATAATGCCATTAGCCTTTGTCAACGGATTATAAATCAGTTATATGAAACAGAATTTATTTTAACAGTTATACATGAAGAGAAGAACAAAATTGCATGACCTTCAACTCGTCGTGTAAATGTAACAACGACGGGTATTCAATTAAGATAACAACTTTAGAGAACGTGACTTAAAATGCAAAGATGTAAATGTTACTACGAAACACACTAAGAAACTTATTTGTCAAAAACACGATATAATTTAGATAAAGGGCTATTCAAGAACTAAATTATACTGTAATGATGCACCTCATAGTAACAGTAAAGGTGTAAAATATAAAAATCAGATACGTACACTGTATATGTATGTACATGTCGCTTCGATACTGTTATTGTTAGAGGTTACCTACTCAAAAGATATTATACAAAGATGAAAAATGTTTAAAATCTGATGGAAAAATATTTTTAAAAAAATTGAATTACTAATTTGTTTTTTCTAACCTGGGCTAAATCTCATTGTGGGACGTGTACACCGGTACTTCGGATGCGAACGTATAAACTGAGGTCCCGTGTCGCAGAAGAGATCCCTATCTCTTCTATTAGTAAATAATGTAAATATTCCATATACCATCATTATATGAATAACCACCAGGCGCGGATCCAGGATTTTGAGTTAGAGGGGGGGGGGGCGCCAAAATTAGGCAAGGGGTCTGGGGGCCGCCGTGAGGCCCCCAGTGGGTCCAGGACAAAGCCCTGGTGGGGGCCCAGGGGGCGAAGCCCCCGGAAGCTCCTGGATTCTAGAGATTTTGAAGGGTTAAAATGAGGTCTACTAAAGCCCTGGTGGGGGCCCAGGGGACGAAGCCCCCGGAAGCTCCTGGATTCCAGAGATTTTGAAGGGTAAAAATGAGTTCTACCAAGTAGACATATTTGATTTACGCTAACTTTGACAATTTTAGGGGGGGCGCGCGCCGGGTGCGCCCCCCCTTAAATCCGCCACTGACCACTAGTGATGTTTCTTATCTATTATAAATTCCATACTTTCGAGGATACAAATATAACCTTCAATTGTAAAAGTCGGTGTCTTCCCGCAAAAAGTCATTAATACTACTGACTTTCATTAATAAACAATATCCAATTGCCAATCATCAAGAGTACATACATTGTAAATAATTGGAAAGTAGTAATATATTCTCATTGGCAATTGAATAATGTTGATAAGTGAAATACTACTACTTTATTTTAAACATTGTTTCTTTTTTTCCTTGCAAATAAATACATGTATGAGACTTATAAGAGTGTAAATATATGAATGCATAATATGTGACCTTTTTTCATTACTTTTGTGTTGCTATAACAGGTGACACGTGTAATTATTTTCATTAAGTTTGAATATGTTTGAACATATAATTGCCTAATGTAAAATACCATTTAGACTTGATGATATAAGTGTCCAAGCGAGGTTTGAAGGTTAATGATATGTACAAACAAGAAAATAACACGATATAGTTTTTGTAGTTAAGATTTATTGTAAAATTGTTTGCAAGTTAATAGATATATATTTATAATTGATTTTAGGAGTAGAGGTTAAAGCAACTGGAATGAATCCAATTGCAGAGAAATTTTTATTCGTTATCCTAGGAGTTTTTCTGGGAGCAGGACTCGTCTTGACAATTCTCTTCGTCCATAAGAGGTCTATTCTTTATTCCTTTTTTTTTCTTTTACTTTATATTTAATATTAATGAATGTCTGGCTTAACATAACAAGTACAATAACACCCTTCAAAGAATAAAAAAGGCCATTTTTACAATAGATAATGAATGACATAGAAGAAAACAATCTAAAATGTAAACTATAGTTAAAGTTGAAACGATCATATACGGTTTCCTAAAAGAATATTATTAAAATCATATGTTTTTGAATAATTTAGATATTCATGTCTTTTTAAAGACTCTCATGGTTTGTTACTGTGTCTTTTTCAGAATAAAATATCAAAGAGAGTCCAGGTACCACGATACTTTGTTTCTACCTTCAGTATATGACTATCCGTTTTATGGAAGAGAAGCCGAGCTCAATATTACACGTGCCGTCAACGATATTGTTCAGAATGACGAAAGCAGCAGGGAAAATCCTGCAGGGAACAGGCCGGAAAATTATTACTCAGAAACGATTTGACATATTTTTATAATTACACTTTTTTTTTCATTTTTATGCATGTTTATTCTAAAGATATTATCTATATGTGAATTTCTGAATATTGATCTTACAGAAAAGGTAAATTATCGTGGCACTGAAATAAGAAGCGGTAAATATTTTTCAACGATTAATTAGTTTCTTAGTATTAATGCTAATAAACATTACCATTATTTTTTCTCTTCTTGCAAACAGATGATGTTTCATATATAGTGAAAATATTCTATTCTTTGATGAATAAACCTTAGTCACCTACATGCGGTGTTTATATCTTTATCTCTATCTTGATTCGATAGTCAAGAGTATGCTCTATTTATGAACAATTATTATATTTCTAAATCGAGGGAATTATTGACAAACAAGATGAGAATATCCACGGACTGGTTTGAACAAAATTAAGTCAAAAATATGGTCAAATGAATTTATAGATCTGCGTAGTCTCTTGACGCACCAAGAGGAAGACCCAGTGACCTTACTGATCACACCAGGGGTAATAAATTTGCAACATAGTCAAAAGTCTAAAACACCTCTGTCCATCAACCAATGGACAGATGCGTTTCTGGTTTTTACGTGTATCGTTATACAACAGAAACCCACTGAGGCTCCCCACCTGCTTAAGTACATGTCATTCATAAGGGAGCTACAAAAACTTCATGGGGATTCAGCGTGGCGATCATACGATGAGTCTTTCAGGAAGTTAAAGGAGACAGTAGACCTTCCATGGCAAAAGCCAGTGGAGGAACTACGTGGTAAATCATTAGCTGTTTCCACAAAACAATCTAATGGGCAGCCGTTTCGTGGGAAACAGGTGGGGAGAATCGGTGGGGTCAGATTCTGCTTCGCCTATAACCAAGGTAACAAATGTAAGTCAACCCCCTGTCCATTCACCCACATTTGCCAAGCCTGTAGAGGTAATCACCCCAAAATTAAATGTAAATCTACAGAAAAATCTGAACATGATAGGACCTCTCCAAACCCCAGTAAAGGCAAACAAACTAAATGACCATTTAAGGGGTTATGATGACCAATTGAGAGATTATTTGGTAAAAGGTCTCAGTTTCGGATTTTCCCTGGGATGTGAAAACACTCCTACAGCGTCTTTGTCAAAAAACCATAAATCAGCTCAAAATCACCCAGAAATCATACAAGATCACATACAAAAGGGCCTTGAGCTCCATCGTATAGCAGGACCTTTCCCAAACCCTCCTTTCGATCCATTTGTGTCATCCCCTTTAGGTGTCATACCAAAATCAGAACCAGGAAAATTTCGTATTATTTATGATCTTTCTTATCCAAAAACAAATTCTGTTAACACCCATATTCCAAAAGAAAATTCAGAAGTTCATTATGACTCAATTGATTGGATTATAAATTTAGTGCAAACTCGTGGCCTTCGGTGCCTGATGGCAAAGACCGATATTGAAGATGCATTCCGAATCATTCCAATTTGCCCAGAAGATTATCATCTACTAGGGTTTTCTTGGCAAGGAAAATATTACTTTGACAAATGTCTCCCAATGGGGGCAAGTAGTTCTTGCCAGATATTTGAAAAATTCAGTGTAGCTCTACAGTGGATACTACAGTCAAAATTCGGGGCTGGGGGAATGTCACATATTCTGGATGACTTCTTCTTTATTGGACCTGCAAACTCTGAAAGCTGTAAGAACGACTTAACAAATTTCCTCTTTCTGTGCAAAAATATTGGTGTCCCTATCAAAATGTCAAAGACACAGACTCCAACTACAAAAATTATAATCTATGGTATCGAAATTGATTCCGACAAAATGGAAGCACGGCTACCAGCGGACAAAATTAACAAGATTAAAATGCATTTGGTAGAACTTTTACAAAAAGATCAAACTACATTACGTGAACTTCAATCTCTGATTGGTTTACTCAATTTCGCGTGCTCAGTAGTGGTCCCAGGGCGTGCTTTTCTCCGACGCATGATTGATCTAACTTGTGGAGTAACTGAACCTGCATCACACATTCACTTAACTAGGGAAACAAAAGCAGATATGGAAACATGGCTATCTTTCATAAGCTGCTTTAACGGGAAGTCAGTTTTTTCCTCAAAAGTGGTTGTCCACAGAACACCTTACCCTTTACACAGATGCATCAGGGTCATTGGGCTTTGCGGCGATTTTAGGTAATGAGTGGTTTGCATCTCACTGGGACTTTTTGCAAAATGATTGTCAAATAGCAGTCAAAGAGTTATTTCCCATTGTACTAGCTATAGAAATATGGGGGAACAAAATCAAAAATAAAAGAATCCTATTCATGTCTGACAATATGGCAGTAGTACAAATCATTAACAAACAAACATCAAAAGACAAAACAATTATGAGATTAGTGCGCCGCTTAGTTTTAGCAACCTTAGAAAACAACATTCATTTCCGAGCAAAACACATTCCGGGTAAGCATAATATCACTGCTGATCGCCTCTCCCGTTTTCAATTTCAGGCAGCTTTCCAGTCTGCACCTCACTTAACCCGCCAGCCGACACAAATCCCTCAAGCCAGTTTGAACATTTGAACTTATCAGCTTGCAATCTTCTGTCAAAAGCTCTTACAAAGAGTTCAAGCGCAGCCTACAAAAGATCATGGGACATGCTAGTGAGCACATTTCCCTCCATCAAATCCTTGCCTGTCTCACCATCTACATTATGTAACTTTATTTCTTACTTATTTGACAACGGATATTCTCCAAATAGCATTGCAACACATGTATCAGCAATTAGTTATGTACATAAATTGTTAGGGACAACAGACCCATCGGATACATTTCTGGTAAAAAAAGGTCATGCAAGGCTGTCACCATTCAGCCCCGTGTAAAGATTCACGTTTACCAATCACAGGTCCCATTTTACACAAGTTAATTCAAGGGCTTCAGTGCTCTGTTTTGAATCAGCATCAAAGAATTCTTTTAAAGTCAATTTTTCTGCTTGCTTTCAATGCATTTTTACGGCTAGGGGAAGTAGTAGTTAAGGCAAAAAGTCTAGCTAGCACAGTCATCCAACGAGAAGATATTTCATTTACCCTAAACGAGAACTCACCCATCGAAGTTGTAATTGTCTTAAAACACTTTAAACAAATAAAACAAAGGACCTCTTCCAGATCCACTTGAAGGCCTTAAAAGACAACAACATCATGTGCCCCGTGAATGCCTTGTATGAATATGTGAATATGTTTGGTCATCACACCGGGCCTCTTTACCAGTTCATTGGGGGAAAACCAGTCCCATATTCTTTTGTAGCAAAACATCTTCAAAATACAATTCAATTCATTGGTCTCAATCCTGCTCTGTACAAAGGCCATAGTTTCAGGATAGAAGCAGCTACACAAGCTGCAAAGTTAGGTTTTTCGGAAAACAGTATTCAAAAAATGGGCCGATGGAACTCAGATGCCATTCGTAAGTATGTACGCCTCGAAAGCTTTAGAATATAGAAACTTTATCAAAATGCAGAACTATCTCTGTTGGAATAAGAAGTAAGTACAGGTTAACTACTAATATGCAAGAACTTTAAACGGGGTGTTTTTTCAATCCACCAGGTCAGAAGTTAACTGCTAGGGCATTGAAAAAACCATTTATTACAGGTGCACAGGTCAGAAGTAAACTGCGGTGCAACTGAAACTATACACAGGTCAGAAGTAAACTGCTACGTAACTAAAACTATACACAAGTCAGAAGTAAACTGCTGGGTGTCTTAAACTATATACAGGTCAGTAGTGAACTGCTGTGCAAACAGGTTTTCATGTAAATACATAGTGATGTTTATATTTGGAAAATGTTTTTTTTTTTTTTTGCCTTGTTATTCACAGATATGTGTAGTGCCATGTATTAATCTAGTCCCAAATTTTCCAGCTGTGCCTGCTGGTTCTCATGTTTTGCTATTATAAGTAATGTAATGTATGGGTCAAAATGCAATGTTTTGAAAGCTAGTCTCCAAAAATTTACATCTGGATTAATTATCCTTTTTTACAAACAGAGTGAATTGTTTAACTGTTTACATTTTTTTTCTTGTATGTTAAGATTTACAAAAACTATGTGTCAAAATAGTGTTGATATTTGTCTGCATACCAAAACCATAAGTGCATGTTGTGTGGTCTACCCTTAGATGGCTAGTCCACTTTGGTTGGCGTTTTTGCAAACGTGGTTTCCTTTTGTGGGCTTCTGTTTTTATTTTTGAACGCCAACTTTTTGCTTGTAAAGTATATATGTTTTACAATTTTTTCTGTTATTTCGTACATTATTTTGACATGTAACAGGGGAGATCATTATACAACTTTACTTGTTTATGTAATCGAATATTTGTATAAGGTTTTTTGATCTCCCCATTTATTGTATTCTTTAATACTCATTGTCATTTTCAATAAATATGGAGTTGTGATTTTTATCCAGGAAGAAATGGAAGGTTTTTTTGGATCTCTATAATATGTAAACAAGCAGGTATTTACATAAAATTTAACATGTATTATGAGCAATTGTCTCAAATATTAGGTTTGCGCCTTGCCAAGTCGCCTTGGGTGGGTGGATCCAATTTGCAATTGGATTGTGGCGTTTATTTTCTTTCATCCCACCGTTTTTTGATAACAAGCATATCAGTGCCTGCTTTTTGCTATATTCTGTTTTAGGGGGTCAGATTGCATAATATGATATCAAAGATTTTTGTATTCTTTCGAAGTTTTTTCTAGTCTTGTCTGACCCCCTTATAATATGTATATATTTTTGTTTTACGTCATTTACTTCAATAAATGACTTTTTTTTCACTTTCACTACTGTTGTTATTTTATTTTTAATCCATAAAAACTAGCTCAGTTGACTTGGCTTCGGCCTGGCATTAATAACAGAGGAAAATAAAGTTATTTACTTTAATTTGCTACCCATTGCTATTAATAGTGGCACTATTTTTGCATTTTATATTGATATGAACAAACAGATAAAAGCATTAGCCATATTAATGATATGCCAAAATAACAAGTAAAGTCAAGTATTTGCGTCTGCTTAAAGTCAATTTCCTATTAGGAAGTTCTTTCCTTGTGTAAGAGATTTCAATTGTTATATTAAGGATTTATCTTTACCTATCATTGAGTTATATTGATATTACACTTTCTTATTCTTTATTATTTCTTACGTATGCGTACGTTTACTTTATATTGACAGTGAGCAAACCAGTCGAAATTTATTTTATAAATTATATATATTTTAAATCTTAGTTCAACTGTCACAGTATTTTGGTTCATCAAAATAGTTTTTTTCTTCACAGTCCAATCCCTTTAAACGACCGCTGATAACAATGAATGTAGTCAAGTCATATTTTTCAACGATTTGATCAACCGTTTTACTTTTAGTATTGTTTTAATACATGTGTATTTATTTGATAATATCTTTGAAAATAAAGTGTATTTATTTGTTATAAATTTTGTAAGAACTGCTTGGATTATATTTTATTATATTGATATTTGAATATTTATCTTTCAATTGGTTGATATACCAGTGAATAAACAAATCTTTATTTCGTGAATATAGCGTTATGAACAATTATTGCTTTGCCTGAATGTTCCGTGACACGGGTTAGCACGACACAGAAAATATGTTTGCACAGTAGTTGTTATTCAACTCAGCATATTTGACTGACAAGAAAGACCCGTGTTCTCCTAATTAATATACATGTTCCTATACGGGGATGATTTTTTAAGCTTCCAATAGAAAACCTGAATTGGTAACGTAGAAGCATATATAATGTAAGTAAATTGAAAGATCTAGAAATATCCAGGCATGGTAAAACACGTCCTGGACGACTTAAAATAAGGTGTCTGTTAGGAATATTTGCCGAGTATACTAGTATGAAATATAGAAAGAAAATGTTGAGGTGTATAGGGTTTGTCCGAAAACTGAAAAAAATGAAATGGCAGTCAACAGATTGTTGATAGAAGATTATATCTGAACACGAATACCCGACGACAAAAATTCTGGAAGACTACTCAGTGTCACCAAAAAGATCAAAAAGTCTTCTCTAAAACAAACAAAGACATGAACGATCAATGGATAGTATTTTTATGCTCACGTAACCGAAGATTCGTGGTTATATAACTTTTGTCCCGTCCCCTGTCTGTTTGCCCGCAGACACCGTAACCTTCGCCATAACTTTTGGGTGTATAGCTTTCATATTTCACAGGTCTGTATTTCATGTGACAAGAACCTC